CTTGTGGGCTAGCATCAGGGACTTGTGGGCTAGCATCAGGGACTTGTGGGCTAGCATCAGGGACTTGTAGGCTAGCATCAGGGACTTGTTCAGCATTAGGGACTTGTAGGCTAGCATCAGGGACTTGTAAGCTAGCATCAGGGACTTGTGGGCTAGCATCAGGGACTTGTAGGATAGCATCAGGGACTTGTGGGCTAGCATCAGGGACTTGAATTTGATACGGGCAGTCAGAGGTGACCAGTGGAGTTCAGCGGCGTTCTGGCTGGCCTAACATCAAACCCAATGGCGCCAACGGGGGGTGGCTTCCTTTCTCTGACAGGAGGTTGTGCGCGCGGTGGCCAGAGCAGACGGAATCAGACACCTCATCTCCATGGCAAAAAGTGAGCACGTCATCATGCAGAACGAGGCCCTGGTCGCCCTGGCGATAGCATCTGCCGCTGACATCGGTAGGTCCTTTCAGAGCTGAAGTCCACAGAACCTGAAGGGCAGATCTACACAGATACTTGTTATAGTGAAGACCACTTTGGGTTGAATCACTGACTACATACTCTTACCACTAGGGCAAATATGATCTAAGATCTGTAGGACGTGCCACATGGAGCCGTTAACTCATTGACTGGCAGCCATTTTCAGAACAGAGTCCCATACTGCCAGAGTCTTTTGAGCATTTTGACTGATTTTTCTAGAGCCACAGAATAGTTTGTGCTATGACTATGTAAACACCGAACACACCAAAAGAAAGAGTAGACTCTCTTCTTTCATCAGGAAAAAAAATGTGTTTCTACCTTATTCCGTTCTTCCTGGACTTGCGTCTCACCGGCGACATGTTCTCTCATAGAACCGTTAGCTTTTTCTTATTTGCCTACAGTCTATGCTCATCTCCCATCAAAAGTGGCACTGCCCCCTAGAGGCTCAATTTGTTACTACATACTCTGTCATATTTACGGACAAGCTTTAGCAGATCGTCCCCAGCCACTCTCGTTGAAAAACATAAAAGACCTCTATAGACGTCTTTGGCAGTCAACGGATGTATTTGAATTGACGTCTATAGATGTCTTTGGCAGCCAATGAGTTAAAGTATACACTAGGTTCAAGGTGTGAGTGGAACATGTGCTCCGTAAGAAAAGCGATGGCCATGTGGGGGTGCTGTGAGCTTACTGATGTGCTTCTGAACGCTCCAGAGTCGGTGAAGGACCCTTTCAGGGAGGCGGAGCTGCTGCCCATGCTGAAGAAGATGCTGGAGGACCCTGATGGAGCCGTGGAGGTCAAGTTCAGCGCTTTAGGGCTGGTCTGCAGCCTGGCTAACTCCAGTACGTATCTTTGCATGTTCCAGCCAGTTCAGGAGAGTTGCAGAGTGAGAAGAAAGGCTATTCTGGGTTCTCAGGGGATGTGGAAAAGAGAGAGGGCTGGAACCAGCACCAGGAACACAGATAGCACAGATAGCTAGCACAGCGCCATCCCTCCTCTTTCAAACTAGGGCAAAGGGAATATTTCCTACCCTAAGCCCTCCAAACATCACTCCTGTCCATCTGAGACATGAAGGTCTCTGCCCTGGTTATAAAGCCGGCGTACACTGTACCATTTTTGCCCCTTTTAGATAGGATTTTTCACTCGTGGTAGAACCTCTTGAATGAGGAGTTTCAGCTCCTGGTGTCTCACATGGTTTTGTACACACAGAGTGAGGAGCAGCCATTAACCTCCAGAACCACATCGTCTGGTTGGAGGAAATCAAACGGGTCTGAGTTTCTGTTTGGCCTGGTGAGGGAATGGTGTTAGTGAAGCCATGTTAGGACCCGGTTCCCCTCCATCTCTGGCCCTGAGTGGTCATCAGGAAGGTCTGGGAGAGTTGTTGCTGCCTCCCTGTAGTTCCTTTATTTCAGGCTGTAAAACTGCCCGCTGACAGCTGTTTCTTCTGTTCTTTTTAAAGCTTTCGAATCACACAATCGCGCAAATTGCCAAAGCAGATTTTAGCTTTGGTGACCCTCATGTTCCGTCCATGTTGTTAAACTAGTCTTCTGTTTCAAGTCCAACGTGCGTTTTTGGACGTAAAATGCGAGCGGTCAGATGGCAGAAGACTATCAGGTCCTATAGTGTCAGAACAGAAATCGTGAGCTTTGAACTTTTTTTTTGCTTGGTTTTTATGCTGGTGCAGATTTAGGTGGATACGTGGAACGATTGAAAATATCGTACAGTTTACGGCCGGCCTAATGTGTGTCGTTTTGTGCTCCAGGTGTCACGAGGGAGGACCTCCTGGCTGTGAACATGAAGGACAGCCTGAGCAAGCTGGCTGACCACAGCAGCTCCAAGCTGGCCTCTCAGGCCGGCTCCATACTGGCAATTCTCTGTGAAACCAGCTAATCCACGTCCCATCCAAACCACTCCAGGCTGTGTGGACCCATCCAGCTTCTCACTTTATCCTAAAGCACACGTACACCTAAAGATCCAGTTGCTTTCCCGACTGTCGGCTGTTTTGCAAAAGGTTTGAGGACTCCGTTCTGATGTAGGTGGGATGAATGCAGGTAAGGGTACAGGTGCCCTTTGACGGGATTGTTGGCTTCCTTCTTAAGAGCCACAGGACAGAGGGAATTCAGTGTTTCATTCCTGTGATGCAGTCTGAATGTGTTATGGCGAATTCTGACCGTGAAGACCTGAAGTAGCTGAACCCGATGAGATGAGCTTGAGAGTTTTTATTCATCTAAAGTGTGTGACTACAATAAAAACCTTCAGAGACGTTGAACGTGCTTGGAGGCACTGGTTCTTGTCGTATCCAACCATTTGTTCTCTAATTGCTTCTGTAGGTGACGTCCAACCAGTGTACTAACGAATAAAAACCCACCGTGTTCGCGGTGCTGTGCGTCCACACTGTGCTGTTTAGCACAATCCAGAGTGAATTTCTGTTAATCCCTCCTCATGTTCAGGGAACAGAGGGTAATCTCAGTGTGATCTAAACAGAGGAACCATTCATTTAGGCTTCAAAGCAGATCCCTCATTTGAATAGAAGGTGGAGGAGCCTGTGGATGAGTGAAGGAGGACCCATGGGCGATATATTAAACATATACAGTGGGGGAAATAAGTATTTAACCCTTTGCTGATTTAGCAGGTTTGCCCACTTACAAAGAATGCTTATTTTTCCTCATCAGATGGTTATCAATTTTTATAAATTCATATGATGTGATTTTCTGGAATTTTCTTTGGGATTCTGTCTCTCACTGTTAGAATGTACATATGATTAAAGTTATAGATCGTTGCATTCTTTGTAAGTGGGCAAACCTGCAAAATCAGCAAGGGCTCAAATACTTATTTCCCCCACTGTACAACCGTATATCGGATGGGGAAAGCCCTTGTGGCTGGGGTGGGAGAGGATTGGCTTTAGTCCAGAAGTGTGCAGACAACAGGGAGTTCTTCCAGGTGAGGGGGAAACCTCTGGGGAATGATACCATCTTTTAATATAGTTTAAGAAGAGCAAGAACGGGTTCAGAGCAGGTGAGAACACAGAAAACCAAAACAGGGACAGCTATACAGTCTGGATCCTTCCTGGAATGTGGGTGGTCTCATCTCCATGCATAAGGTGGTCCATAATGAACTAATAATGAATCTGCCTGAAGCCACTTTAAGGAACAACATGATGGCTCCATACATCAGATTTCTGCTTGTTGGCAGATTAAATGGGTCTGTTAGCTCCTTATAGACTTCAGCCTCATTGTGCCAGGAGTGGTTTGCAGCTTAGTATGATAGATAGATAGATAGATAGATAGATAGATAGATAGATAGATAGATACTTATCCCAAGCTGGGAATGAGCCAAATCCAACACACAGTTCTGAATCTCTGCTCAATTAATGCCCAGGTGGAGAGAAAAATCAGAAGCCGTACAGAAGTGTCATGAGTATTTAGAAAAGTGCTGGAAGTGCTTTTGCTTTTTTCTGTAAAGAGGCATTTGAACCAAAAAGACAGAGCCTCACTTTCACTCATCC